TATCCATTAGTACCGTTCCAATGACGCGTTCAGCTAGATAAAATTGATAAATATCAAATTTCTAGCGATGGGCAAAATCTTAGATCCATAGGCCAACATTAGAGTCATTTCCCCTATATGAAGTTTTATAAAATTTGCTTGAAATTCAAGTTTTTGGTATTATATTTTGAACAACCGTTCAAAAGAATACTTTCATAATTTCCACGATAAGGACTGATCAATCAAATATTTTCCAGATCAATGCTATTATGTTTAGAGTACTGAAAAATATGAATCACATGCAATTTGAAAAAAATAAATGATTTTCTGAATGATTTTTCTTAATGCACAATTGAACGGAAACACCAATTATTCAAAATCACTGATAGACTTTATTTTTTATTCAGAAATCTTATAAAATTTTTGACATTTTTCGAATACTCGCACTAGAGAAAAAAAATTTTTTTTTGGCTCTAATCAACTGGATAACTCATACTCATGCATTAAGCCTGCAACATATGGTTTGTAAAATATATTCAATAAGTTGATTTTTAAGTGGGTGGTCACATTGCCCCATTGGCGAAATTGCTCCACTTTCCCCTATTTTAGATTTTCAATCTACATTCCAAAATTATCAGCGGAAGAAAAATCGCACGTTTGACATAACCTCAAAACATCCGAAATATCTCCGGTATCCGGTAGCCACTGCCATTTCTTGTCCAATATACGAAAAAATACCGTCGAATGCTTCCAGGTTTATCAAAATCGGGTAATTATTCAAGAAACTGTCGTACTTTAATCCATTAACGCCCAGTGATCTATTTATAGATAAGAAGACATTTTTGATTACTGTTGAGAAACTTGAGCTCAAAAGTTATAATTGTCTTCACAAAAATTGTTCTATGGAACAATCTCTCGAAAATGGTAAGCAATTTAGTGCGGAATTGACTCACTAGGTGGTGTTAGTGTCTTTAGAAAACTTCGTTATATCAACTTTTATAGAATAAAGTTCTCATGATATGTGTTAGATAGAAGAATACCAATACCAAGAAGGCCAATACTACAGTGTATTTTTTGACACAATTTTCTCACTAGGTGGCTCTAGTGTTCTTGTGACATTTGTGTACATGCAATATCTTATGATCCAGGCTATAAAATAAAATTGCTGTTTTCTGCAATGTTTTTCAGGAAGCCAAGAACTTTTGAATGGTGAACATTTCAGTTCGGAATTCTCTCGTTAGGTGGCTCTAGTGTTCTTATAAACTTCATTCGACCCTGCATCGACATCTAGAGATCTTACTGGACAAAAAGCTGCTGTTTTCTGCAACGTTGTTAGAGGCTAAGATCTTTGGAATTGAGGAAAGTTTAGTTCGGAATCCTCTTCCTAGGCGTGCCGCCAGTGTTCTTATGAATTTCGTGTAAATGCAGGGTTGACGTCTCGAGATCATTTTTTGATGCAAAGCTGCTACTTTCTGCATTGTTATTTTGATTTTTCGACAGATTAGTTTGGGATTCTCTCGCTAGGTGGCTCTACACACTTAGATTATTTTACCAAAATCTGTGAAATTTTACCGAAATCTCAACAGCTGAACTTTCGGTAAACAGTTCGGTGATTTTTCACAGATTTCCTGTAATTTTTCACCGAATATTTCACAGATTTCGGTAAAATAATCTAAGTGTGTAAATTTACATGAATTTCGTGAAAATGCTGGATTGACATCTCGAGATCTTTACTATATACAAAGTTGCTGATTTCTGCAATGATGTTCAGGAGGCCAAGGCCTTTTAAATTGCTGACAGTTTAATTCGGAATTCTCTCGTTAGGTTGCTCTAGTATTCTAATAAACTTCGGGTACATGCAGCGTCGACATCTCGAGATCCCTGCTAGATACAAAGCTACTGTTTTCTGAAATGTTGTTCTGGAGGTCCAGACCATTTTAATTTTTGACAGATTAGTTCGGAATTCTCTTGACAGGATGGTCTTGCGGTTTTATAAATGTCGTTTAAATGCTGGGTCGATATCTCGAGATCCTTGCTAGATACAAAGTTGCTATTTTCTTCAATGTTATTCAGGAGGTCAAGGCCTTCTAAATTGTTGACAGTTTAGTTCGAAATCCTGTCGCTAGTGTTATTATGCATTTCGTGTAAATGCTGGGTGGATATCTCGAGATCCTTGCTAGATACAAAGCTGCTGTTTTCTGCAATGTTGATCAGGAGAACAAGGCCTTTTGCATTGTGATCAGTATTGTTCGGACTTCTCTCGTTAGGTGGCACTAGTGTCCTTATAAACTTCGACAACTCAGATCCCTGATAGATAAAAATTTGCTGTTTTCTGCAATGTTGTTCAGGAGGCTATGGCCTATTGAATTGAAGACAATTTAGTTCGAAATTATCTCGATAGATGCCATTAGTGTTCTTATGAATTTCATGTAAATGCTGGGTCAATATCTTGAGATCATTGCTAGATACAAAGATGCTGTTCTATGCAATGTTGTTCAGGAGGCCAAGACCTTTTGCATTTCTTACAGTTTTGTTCGCAAATATCTCGCTAGGTGACACTAGTGTTACAATAAATTTTAGGATTTCTAACAATATCCAATTTATGACTCTTTAGCAAATCCAACGTTACATATGGAAAGGTAAATAAATTGGGTTCTTTAAGGGTATTGAGGCAAATGCAAATTCGTAATCCGCATTAAAAATGGAACCCAAACCTAACATTTCATAAATTTTGGTACACTGGAACTATTTTAAATAAGTACGATTACATTTGCAAAAATCACCTTATTCGCGCCCCTTGGTGTCACTTTGTATGGGAGCGAACTGTCAGTTTAGTGTCAAACCGTGAAGTTATTATTTTGCTTTAAATCTTGATTTAAAAATCGAGATGAAAGTGTGCGGGTTCGAAAAAAATATCGCTGTGCTCAGAAAACGAAGCTCTTTCAGATGATATATAAAAACGGATATATTTTTCAAAATTAAAGCAGCCAATTTAGAAGTCCCCTGTAGTAGAGTAATTTAATATTTTTGATCATATTTGTTAAAAAAAATAAATTAAAGGGTTGTGTCCTAGACACGACCGCAGTATGACGTAGAACCACACAAAATTGATGTTTTTCATGCATTTTTGACTATTATACTTTATCTTAAAATTTTCAAGTATTTCAATGTTTCGGTTATGGTTGACTCAAAACAATTTACACATTTTTCTTGATAAATGTCCATGTGAAATTTCACATGATTTTCATTTGACCACACATAAACAGAATCCACTCAGAAGTACACATGAAATGGCACGAGAGCAGCGCTGATTTATATCTTTTCATGTTCAAGCAGAATGATGTGCAACCAAGTGGTATTCGTTTATGATGACTGGGTTTGGGAAAAAGGCTTATTTCATGAAATCAGGGATAAAATTATCATTTGTACATTTTCAATAGTTTAATTATAGAAAAATAGGAAAAATATTTATTTCAACAGGTTCGTAATGTAATATCCTATCGATTGGCGTATTTAGATTTAAATTTCATCTATAAATGACAAAGTTACTAGCCTTCAAAACCTAACACTCCTTCACCACACATATTTTTTGATTTGCACCCCAGTATAGTCGACAAAGACGTAGTTCTACGTCAAAAAGTGCGGTGAAGCGTGGATTGAGCTTATTAGGCTCGAAATTGGATCAAAAACCTTAATTATGTTTTCTTTGAAACCATATGTTGAAAATAAGTTACCGGTTTTCTCTAAAAATTAGGGTACAGCTTCTGAATCATTCTATCGAAAAAAAACTACAGGTGGCTCATACCATCAAGAGTTGGAGCTCTCTACTTTTATATTGTGTTGTGTTTTTTTTAATTACAGGGGAAATGGATGTTATGTCGGCCTAAATACCCCTAATTTGGGCCCATACGATCAGCAATCGACTAAATTTTCAAAAGCGACCAAAAATATCAATTAGTACCATCCTAATGACGCGTTCATCTAGATAAAATTGATAAATAGCAGATTTTTAGCCCAATCTTAGATCCATAGACCAACATTAGAGCCATTTCCCCTATTTGTTTATTATTACGAAAATATTTTTTTTTAAAATCCGCTATATCGGACACAAGGCCGAGCAATCCTGTGCTGGAAAAAAATAATGAAACGATTTTCTGGTACAAAGCAGGTGGTCAATGTTCATAACGAGGCAGAAACAAATACAAAAAAGAACCCATTAAAAGGTTATATACAGCTAATTACGGCCAATAATGAATGTAAAAGCTTTATATAAGTCTTACAACCGCTCTATAAAACCAAAAGACAAATAAGCGGACTTTTTAGTTACTTGTTGTTTTACAACCTGTCAAGAAAGAAACTGACTTAGCAACAATCATTTTGAATTCCCTGCTGGAAAGAATAAACCAACCGTGAAATCAACTTAGATCGGGAATCTTGTGATTTGTGCTCTTGAAATCGCGACGTGTGATAAGAAAAAGGACCCTGCAAGGAAACACCTTAATATTTTAGTTTTGTAAACACATAAAACCTTCTTGTTGAAGAATCAATGTCACGACACAATTGGCAAGATCAGCTTCCCGGCAAACACTGCACCAAATTGGATGCAACAAGTGTCAAATGACACGTCTTCTTCTTATTATTATTCACATTTCAAGTTTATTGCTTAACGCATATTAGCTTATTCCGTACTCTCAAACCTAGTGTTCTTGATTGATTGAGAGCTTTCGATGTCTGTACCATTTTTGCATTAGTATAATTGTGAAGCAAGTACAAACATACTCTATGCCCAGGGAAGAGGTCGAGAAACAGCATTTTTCTCAGCTTGCTGTTTTAACGAATGGGACAACTATGCTGAAAAGTGCAGTGAAGTAGCTGCTCAAAATAAGATTACCCTTCGCATGGAGCTGCTTCACGTTGTTTTGACCACTTTGGATTTTTGTTGTGGAATATGCTACATATAATAGATACGCATCCGGATCTAACGGCCAATGAACAACATAAATCACGTTCTGGGTACTCACGTTTTGCACTCGGAACTGCTCGGCGCCGTCAGCTCCAGCATCTGCGACACGTTGGTGTTGATCAGGAAGAACGTATTCTTGTCGACGGCACTTTGCCGCACCAGTATCAGGTTGGTTTTGGTGATCGGATTGAAACGGCCTTCGGTGATTTTGCTCTCGCTACCGCCGAGACCGGGACTAGAGTGGTACTTGAGTAGGTATTTGTCATCCTGTTTTGGGGGGAGATATGGGAAATTAGTTCATTTGATAAAAAAAAAAAAAAACAGTTCGATTTAAGCAATGCATACCTGTTTTTGTAATAAAACCATCATATCTTCGAACAACAATCCATGCAGTTGTACTCCAGGATTCTTCTTCATTGTTAACGGCCCATCGTGGATTAATTTACGTACAGTTAAGTCTATATTCTGTAAGTTGCAACCAGATATTGATAAACTCTCATTTCTACGCTTTACAATTTCAAACAACTTACCTTAAATTCACTAGGGGCATCCTTATCTAAACCACTTCGATCTAATTTACGTTGGATAGAAATTAGCCTGAAAAAAAGCAGAAAGCAATCAAACATCTATTCCCGAGCCGTGTACTACCGCATGCCAAGGGAACTTACTTATGGTTATCCTCCTCAGTCCGGACCGCCTGGTTGACGTGGTCCAATATTCGCTTGGAGGATTCGAGAGCTTTCCGGATTGCTTGCGCTTCCAGTTCGTTGTCGGGTTGGACGCGCATCGTAAAGCTGAACAGATTATCGAACAGCAGCGGGTACTTCGTTAACCGCTGCAGCACGGTCGGAAGTAAATCCTTCAACTGTAAGCGTCGGCAGGCCTTGTGCGATTCAGCCTTGATCAACAACCGCTGCAGGTTTTCGTCCTTTTTCCGGCGTTCCTTCAGCGCTTCCAGGGCGATCTGCTGCCGGGCGCAAAAGTAAGCTGCATGCTCCTTCAGGTCTTCACCTGATTGACCTTCGAACTAGAAAAAAAAAAACAAATGGAAAATCATGATTAGATTGCTGTTTAGGAGGGGCACAAACTGGACACCTACCATCAACAGAAGCAAATCGCCGGTTTCCTGCACGATATTGTTGTGTTCTATCCTTCGTTGCTTCAGATATCCCTCGAAGGTAGTGTGCAGCTCCTGAAGTTTTCGCAGTGACGGGGGAAACAACAGCTGCAGCAGGTCGTTCGACAGTACACCCGACTCCTGGAGAGGTCGCATGAATATACCCTCCAATAACCGAAGCGTTCGCACATGGTTACGTTCGGTTTGGTAGATTTCTGCAAATTGTATGAAGAATTCCACATTCATGAATCATTCAAAGTCCGCGATCAACGTCCGGCACTTACCATTTATCACTTCCTGTCGTTTCTTTTCGGCATCACAGAGGGTGGCGAGTATGTCCGCCGGTATGTTGGAACTCCAGTCCACTTCCTGTTCGACGTTGCCTTCGTCGTCGCTGTCGACCCATTCGCGAGCCGTCGGCAGCAATGCCGTACCGGTCGCGCTGAGATTGGCCGCATTACCACCGCCCGGCGAACTGAACAGACCGGAAGAGTTGCCGGTGGCGCTGGCCGATGTATTGGCACACGGAACCGCTGAACCGGGAGCTCCTGGACCAGCCGAGGCTCCCGTTCCCGCCGGGCCAACCGCTTCGAGCGAGGTTGATCTGCTGTCCAGCGCAAGTGGAAGACTAGATGTGGAACTGCTGGAATAGTTGTTGATCAGCGATGAGGCCTCGTTCTGTTCGTCACTGTTTGGAAATGGGTGGAAATAAGATAAGAACATCCATTAGATCAATCACACTCGCTTTAGCTCTACCGATGATAGAAGGTATACCCCTCATTTTCACAACTCATCGCTTTGGACCGAATCTTGAACCGACCTCGCTTGCCACTGGGTCGAAGCGGAAAGTGCACTACCACTACTGCTTTCGTTTCAATTTTTTCGTCCGACTCTCGGGTCGTTTCTCCTACGATGGCTCAACTACAGCGTGGCATTCGCCGTTTGTCACGTTCCAACCGTCTTCTAAGTAATTGATGCAAAAAATGATTTATTGCACTTTACCGGACGACACCGAAAAAACGCTGCAGGAATGCAGTCAGTGGCTGGAAGCTCACTGCAACCTCAGAGAACATAACCTAATTTAACAACCGCCGGGAAATCGGGTTAATGGAACCATAATTCATTGATTTTTGATTGGTTTTCGACCGAGTGGGACCAAATCTCTATTGTCAAGTCGGTGTGTTCTAATTTAGGGAGTGTAATTAGAGCGAGTAGTTACCTAAATAAGGCCACATGTAGGTCGGTGGCACCGGAGACCAATCTGGCGATGACGATGGTGGTGATGTTATTGTTTTGATGAGTCGAGAAAAAAGGTGATAGATAATTTCAGCACTTAAATTGACCGTAAAAAATTACTTTCCGAGAATACTGCAGGCTTCATACTGAAAGAACATCATTCCAAAAAATAACACTTATTTCAAGCAAGTAAAACTTTGCAGTCAATTTATCATAAAACTACACAACAAACAGCAAGTGCACTTTCGACAGGGAAAACAACAAATGCTATTGTTTCCATTGTGGTGAGTTCGATGCTATAAAGTTCTGTTGTCTGAGCGGTTGAAAGGTAGAGTGGTGCAAGTCCACGTGAAACATGAAGCCCTTGTCGATAATAATAAAAAAGAGTATTTTGGGCGATTAGGTTTATAAATAGGCACATATCCGTTCAACGTTTTTTTAATTTTACAATACTTGTTTGTCGCTATACCGTAATCGTTAATCCATGCATTTCTTTTATTATTAAATATAAAGAAATAATGTCTACTTTGCAACAAAATAAACATGTCCGGAGTGATTTGAAATTTGGGCATAATTGCATTTGTAAATAAACACGTCAATCACTGATTTCTCGAGAATTAAAGCTCAATATCGAAAAATAATAATGCTATGAGGTAGAGGAATGATACCTCTACCATTTGGTATAGTTTGTTTATGAGATTGAGCTTTAATGCAAGAGAAATCGGCAACAGACGTCTTTGTTTACAAAAGCAATTACGCTCAAATCTCAAATAAGTCCGGATGTGTGATGATTTGTAATATTGCTAATAGACCTTGCTGAAATTTACCGTAAAACGGGGTGAAGTTGATCATTGAGGTGAATTTGATCACTACACCGATACATTTTCGGTTCTCAACCATTATTTTTCATGATATTGTTATGAAATAATATGATCAGTGTTTTACTAAATAGTTTTAAATAGTACTTATAAAAAGTTTCCCCTAACAACCGATGCATTCTATCGCTGTATGTTTACAATTCTGTGGAAGTGATAAAATGTGCAACTTTAAGCTGCTCCTCAAAATCCGATCATAATTAGCATTTATTCTGATGCCGTGTCCGGAGAAATCAATTGTTTTACTTTATTTTGAATTGCTGAATCCGAATCATGAATCAGATTTCGGTAAAATAAACAATTGTTTTTTATCAAAATTATGTTTCGATAAAACATTGCCTACATTTAGGCGTATTTTTTAAAACTATTTTGCAATAATAAAAGCATTGCCCACCACAACTTTTGTAGAAAAATTTAACGCAAGATTCTTCTTCGCGAACACAGGTTTAGAAGGTGTTTGTTCGTGTGCTAAACATATGGTTGGATAAATTGCGTTTATCAATAAAAAAGTGATCAACTTCCCTCCATTTTACGGTACGTCTATCCATTAAATACGTCACGCATAATCCCTACTTTCAATACGATACTCCAATACCGATTTTTAATTCCCGTTTTTTTCCCATGGTTGTCCATGATAGTTTTCCCGGTTTGCTCAAAACAACTAAATTTGAAGAAAAATAATTATACTTAATTTTTAATATCTTCATTAAATAAATATGAAAATTTCTGAAGATTATGGGTTTGCATTATTAGGAAAAGTTTTATATTTCGAGCTATTATTTTTTATCAATCCTGGACATATTAAAATCAAGATTTCACAAAAACAGAAAATTGTCGAAATCTAGAATCTAGAGAATTATTTCAGACTTTGGACTTCAAAACATTTTCAAGATTTTAGAATTTGAAAAAAAAGTGTTCAAGATTTTATACTTTACATTTAAAAAATGTTAACTAAGGAGTTCCAGGGTGGCCACTGAATTTAAGATTTTTAATTCTATGTTTTCCCAGATGATATTTTTCCCGATAAGATACAAACAGATAGATTTGATGAAAAATAACTAACCTGAATTTTCGAAATCATACCCGAAAAAAGTAATTAATATACATAAAAATTTCTGAAGATTCTGTACATATAAAAATCACGATTTCAAAACATCAGCAAATTGTCGAGAATCAGACGATAGCTAATTATTCCAGACTATGTAATTCTAAACACATTCAAAATTCTAGAATTTGGAAAAAATTTCAAAAGTTATTACTTGAATTTTTTTTTTTAATTTTGGAAGTGAGGATTTTTTTCCAAGATCTCTAACCAGTAACGCTGGTAGATCACCTTTTAGTGGTACGTTACTGGTACACCAACCCCTAGTCATAACAACTTCAAACTGGGGAAATATAATTTCTCAGTAAGGTACACCGGGGCAAGTTGGAACGCTCAGTGAAGTTGAAACGGTACGTGTATCTCTTAGCGGAAGTGATTATTGACTGTAATTATTATTGAGAGGCATTGTGATTATTCACTTCCGGTAAGAGATACACCTACCGTTTCAACTTCCACACGCGTTTCAACTTGCCCCGGTATACCTTTATCAAAGAAACACATTTTAGTCCTTGTTAATAGTGACAAGACTCGGGTAGTGACCACCCCCCCTCAATTAATAACTGTGGAAGTGCATCTAGAACACTAAGTTGAGAGCACAGATATGCAATAAGCTTGAAATGCGAAGAAGAAGAAGAAGAAGTGGAGGAGACATTGAGCCAAAAAATCAAAATTTCTCGTGCCCTACACAGTTCGAAACTATAGTGTAAATTTATGTTACTATGATGCACATAAATGAAGCGTCATATGTCATACAAGTTAACCTTATAGATCGCGTAAATTTATGAGACATGTCATGAGATATTCCATAAATTGTTTGCTACATTTCTAGCAAGTTGCTGGTTTACGTAAAAAGGTTGTTTACATGTATGGATGTTTACGTTGCCAGTAAAATTCAGATTTTTTTCAGCGTAGCTTACAACATTCACATTCAAGCAAGAAAAACAATTTTAAACATGTGAATATATTCATCAATGATATATTTACGACTGTCATGGAAATGGTTGATTGCAATTGATATCCTTACTTAAAATATGTAAATGTAACGTAGCTATTATTAATACTCTTGGTTATGAACACAATGTACTTTTTATGCATGGCTTAAGATCATGTGTAAACCTTGTCTATCTACATTACGTGTTCAAACTTGTGTTTGCCAGTGGAAATTTTCAAAAAATGTGTTTTTGCTGCTATTTGTGACACTTAACTTTACAGCACTATTTAAATAAAACAAATGGTTAATAATATCTATACTGGACTCCAGGAGTTCACGAAAGATATTCTCGTTATAATTTTCTGTATATTCAAGATATTTGCATCAATAACAAAATTCAAATTTTGAATTTTGTCCCAATGTCACCCTGTCTTACGGTACTTTATTATTGAGATTTTTAGCACTTTGCTAGTTCATCTCATAATCAGAAAAACGATTGAATCACAATCGTAGTGCATTTTGTGGGCGATATGTATGTGTACCCCCATGAATATGATTTGAACCAACAATCTTAACAGAGCTCAAGACCTCAAACTTGTAGAAAAACGTTAGAGCATCGCCAAAATAGGTGCGTTTCCCCTATATAAAAAAGCGAATCGAAAAGTTTAAAAAAATCGCAAACTTTCAAAGAGTGGAAGATCTTGGACTTCCTCGATGATCCTGAACGTAGAATTTATTATACAAGATTGTAAGACCTCAATAATTTTAATTTTCATATCCTGCAACTCCGAAAAAATTGAGATCTCTGATTTGGAATTTTTTTAAGATCCCGAACAGCTTAAAACATTTCAAAATTTAGTCACTTAAAAAACCATCACGATCTTGAACTATGGAAAATTAAAAAAAATCTAAACCAAGAGAATTTTTTCAAAATAAATTAAGATTTAAATAGGTAAACCAATTATTTTAAGGATGCGATCAAATTCCCGGATTTTTCGATTCTCTCGGTTTTTCCGGTTCAGTTGCAGGGGGACCTCATAATTGCTTTGGAATTCTGGTCAGTATTATCAAATATATCATATTAACAATATGATCCACGCTTTCACTTAGCTGGCGAACCGAATTTTTAGCGATGAAAACGCCTCTATGGCCAAAAAGACTACCAATGTATTAAGTGAGAGAGAAGGATAAATAATTTCCATTTAATTCCACTACATTATTTGCTTACCATTGACCGATACGCGTATTTCGTACAAGACACTGAAGAAGTCTGCACTTTGTAGACAAAATACGCGTATCTGTCAAGAATAAGCAAATAAGGCAGTGGAATTAAATGGAAATTACTAATCCTTCTCCCTCTCTCTCTCTTTAATCAGGTATTCCACTAAGACCATCATCATCACCATCAGGATTTATTAATGTATTGTTTACCTTCACGAGGGGTAAACCAAACGAAAATTTGTATAAATTTTTAAATGTATGTATTTCAACATATTATTTTATTTTATGACAACAGACAAATTTTCAGGCAATATACAAAATGT